GGGGCAGCAATATAATGAAATAATTAAAAGACCATGTTTTGGAATCACACATAACAGGGCTTTAGATCGTAATTTAGAGACAGTTCCTAATATTTGGAAGACAAAATTTCAGTTGTCTCATTTGAATTATGGAGATAATCCTCCCCCCCTTCTGTATCTCTTACGTTTGTTATAAGCATTAAATAAAATAATGTATATGAAGCAATTCACTACCTTGCTAAGTAAGGACTCTACTAAGAGTAGCTGTTTTAAATGCATATAGATGATAATTATTTTAATTATCAACTAAGGTTTCTTTACTCCTTTCTACTTCCTTTAATGCTTCCTATAGACACTATTCACTGAGGAGTCATATACATTATCTAGGTTAAAAGTTCGCTTAACTTTTTGATTAGCTTTTTAAAATGAAAACAAAGAGCAAAGTTTTGCAAATCAAAGTTATCTCTAGAAAATAACTTGACTTTTTGAGAGCAAAAGCTTTTTTTGAGCCATCTGAGACTAGAGAACTGAGAACAGACCTTAGAGTGAGAGAGAGTATATGATGACATAAGAGTTCCTTTTGGTATTTCTGGGAGGGAAGGGAATCACTAACTAGCTGGTAGGAGAAGAATTCAAGATGTGAGGAGACCCTAGGCAATGTCTGAGTCTTTGGGATGGTGCCCAGGACTCACTGAGTTGAGCCAGAGGAGGCTTAAGCAGTAGAAATTTGAATGGGGTTAGGAAATCCAAGTGTAGAAAGGACTAGGTCTTAATTCCCAGGGAAACTGAGCATTTTAAAGAAGTTCCATATCCTGTATAACCTTAGAAAGAGAAGCAATGGTGAGCTTCAGCAGATGGGCCTGAGTGCTGCTTCATGGAGTTCCCACGCCCTCAGAGGGGTGCAGGAGAGACTGAAATGACCTCAAGAAGAACACAGTGCTTTAAATAGGCCATGGACCCTAAATATTCTGAGGTTGGAACAAAGAGCATACAGCTGCACTTACCTCTAGTTGAGGTTATAGTTGTACCTGAGACAGCAGCAGTAGATCCCAGTGTACAGCGATGAAACAGGACAAGCTGCAACTCAGTGAGGGTCAGCATGGGCACAAAACGTACATGAACCTGATGCCTTGTGCTCCTTATACTTACCGTTCCCTTTCAAGAGGGAAAGGAAAGTGGTATTGGTGGTAGGGTATTTAAATTGACTCCTGTTTACCCCATTGGTGAAAGAGGGATTCCCACCCTAGGGTTATGGGGATGGCTAAATACATGACACCTGGCACTGGACAGGCGAGATCAGATGAAATGGACAGCAGTTTATTCATCATATATACTCACAGCCTGGGGAAGAGGACACCATGCAGGGCCACACAGGGGATACACTTGGGAACAAAGTGAACAACCAGGGCTGTGAGAGGCAGGCTTTGCAGTAGTAAGGGTGGGGTGCTTCTTGGTCCCTGTGGGAGGATATGATTGGCTTGTTTGAATAATTCTGCTACTCGGAGATGAGCAGGAATTGTGCCTGATGCCTTTAATAAGGAGGGTGTTTGGCTAGGGTATGTTACCCATGGGAACTGAGTGGGAAAGGGAACTTGGGTTAGGCCATTCGAGACCTATTTTATCAAATGTCAAGGCACCACATTATACTAATCCTTAATTTTTGGTTTTGTGCCACAAGTGACCCCTTGATCCCTTGACATCAGTTTAAACCTTGGTGATGACTGAGACTTTTAGGGAACAAAGTAGGCACCTGATCAGGAACTTTAGAGGTGTCCCCATTTGCAATCAATAAAGGCAATTGAGAGGTCCGTGTGGCATTGGTGTAAGGAGTAGGTATCTCCAGGAGGTGAGCAAGAATTTTCCACTTTGTGACGAATAGGAATTCTTTAAGAAACCCATGAAGCCTTTCAATTTCACCAGCTGCCTGGAGCTGACTGCCTGGGGCCCCAGGGGAGGTGGAAGTTTGACTGAATGTCTTCTTCAAGAGCCCAGCACTGTGTATTCTGGAAGTGAAATGAGTGTCTTGGTCACTCTTGGTAGTATCTAGAACTCCAAAGAGGATACAGAGCATCCTGCAGAGGACTTGTATCGTGGCCTTAGTATATGTAATCTGTTACCTTGATTTATTCTGAGTAACTGTGGAGCAAGAGATTCCTGGAGTTCTTTACCCCAAAGGGGGCAACTCTTAGGTCATGGCCTAAGAACTTGTAAAAATGTATAGATGGCATCAAATGTCGATTGCCTGAAGTGTGCCAGTTGTACTGACTCTTGGGTCCTATCTTTTATCAGGGACATTTTGGTTAAATGATGAGAAGGAGTAGCTCTTCTCCGAGCTCCATCATTTATCATGGTGGCACCAGCATTAGTAAAGTGTAGAGACTTCCATTTCTGTCCATTCAGTTGATCCCCAAAAGGCTCCCCAGGTATCAGAGGACTCTGGGATAGGGGTGACCTCTTCTAGCATAGGGGTATTAGTGAAGGGACTGAGAACAGGGGAGGCCACCCCCTCCAACAGAGGAAATGTGCCAGAAGGCCCAGGTGTGACTCCATCTTGTAGCAAGGAAGGCTCAGGAGCCATGCCTCAAGCTGTTGAAGTGCTGCTTGGATAACTCAAGGCATAGTGGGTAGCTGGGCACAGAGGGTTGCAGGCTCAAGGTTTGTGATAGCCTCTATTTCCAGAAGAGGCCAGTATGTGGCTATCCTGATGGTGTATAGTGCCAGGCTGAGAAAGGCAGTTTCTTGCGTCAGAAGTCCATGAGCAACTTACAACCTTCATAGGTGGTCTAGAGACTCCAGGAGGCAAGAGAGGAGGTTGCTAAAGCTACAGTAAAGAGGGCTCTGAGGGCACAAACTAGAGTGCTTGTTGATTTCAATTTGGACAGATTTCTAGAGCCTTTTTTGGAAGGAGTCCCCTTTGAGGTAGGCTCATTTAGAAGAAACAGCATCAAAGACATTAAGTAAAATTTGTAAATGAGGAATATGTTGCCTCCAGAACCTAAAAGGGGCTAAAAGTTGTTGAATTTGTACTGACCTTGTGGTTGCTGAGAGGGTCAATACCTGTTTCATGACAATGTCAGAGAACCGTCAATTTACCAAGTAACTTTCAGAAATTTAATGGAAGTGGCAGGGCCTTGCACTATGTGTGGGACAATGGTTCATCCCCCTTTTGGGAGCTCCTTTGTGAGTATTTGTATGTCTTTAATGAGTATGTCAAACAAATCTCCTTGGAGGAGGATGTCATTGATGTTATGTCATATCTAGAGAAAGGTGGATACAGTTAAGATCTTGCCTGTGGAGACTGTGTGCCATGGCAAGGATGCTGAGGTATCCCATGGGTATCCTTGTAAAGGTGGATTGTGTCCCTTCAGGGGTAAAGGCAAACTGTGGCTGAGAGGCTGTTGAACTAGGCATTGTACAGAACATATTAGCCTAATTTATAGCAGCAAAATATAGACCGGTTGCTGATTGGATGGAGTCAGCAATTTTAATAATTAAGTTGTTGGGTACAGAGGCCTTAATGGGATGGGACCATGGCTTTACAGTTGCAGCAATCCACTATGGGGCACCATTCTTTTGTTTCAGGTTTAACAGGCCAAATAGGGCTGTTAAATGCAGAAACAGTGGGAATAACAACCCTTCACTCAGTTCCTCTTATAAAACAAGTTTTAATACTGGAAGACCCTGTTTTAAATTACCTTGAGTCATGTTAACTATTTTAACTGGGGGAAGGGGTGGGGAAGGTCATGGGTTCTCATTTTGTCAAACCAATTTGTAAGTGTCAAAGACTTAATTTAATTTTCATTTATTTTTCATTGGGTCAGAGTATCCATGCCCATGCCCAAGGGATATTTTAGAGCGATGAGTGCTATAACCATGGGGAATTTAAGCAAGACAGAGTTCTGATGGTTAAGGTGAAGCATACCTATTTGTCCTCTTTTATATTCAGTAACTCCCATAGGTAAATACTCCATTATGGGGGATACGATGTTTAAATTAATGGAATTCCCAGGTATAATTGTAATTTTAGCCCTAGTATTGGTTAAAGCCATAAATGTTTGCCACTTGGTGAATTTCAGCAGATATTAGAGTTAATTCAAAGCCTATATGGAGAGGCACAGAAGGCAACCAGTGAACCTTCATCATTTGCTATATAAATTCGTTCAGTAAATTTTGTATTTTTAATTGGGTCAAATTGTGGGCCTTTGTTTTAGGTTGTTGTTTTCTTAGTGTCCTCCTCCCTGTATCCAGGTTTCTTCCTTTCCGTATTTTGTTTATCTTATTATTGTTTTTGGTCACTGGATATACTTGTGGGGGGGATCCTCTCTACCCTGATTATATTTATAAGTTGCTTCCTCCAGAGACCCTCAAATTAGTATTGACAGAGTTAGCAATGGTTGATTTATATGATCTAAAGACCCTGGGCCTAGATTGGGTTTGAATCTGGCACCACAAGGGCACCATGAGTATTTCCCTATAATCCCGAGAATTAGAATCTTTGTTGCAACAGACATAAGCAGCAGAGTGTTGCAGGAAGAAGTGCTGGGCCTACAGCCCAGACTTGATGGATCAAAACCATCCTCTGCTACAGTCCCTTTCCTATCATGTGAGCTTCCTGTCTTGTTTTTCTTTTTTTTCCTCTGTACAAATTTCCTGGGAATATTTTGGGTTTCTAGCCATGCAAAGTTGAAGTTTTCAGCTGTGTCTGCACTATCACCTGTGGTGCAGACCTTCTGGATGGTTATGGGGAAGGTTCAGGAGCTTAATGGCCTCCCTCATCAGTGAGCATCTCTTCCTCCAGGGAATGACAGTATCCCTGGAATAAGAGTCCACATCTAGTAGAGTCATTTTGCCTATGACTTGGATGGAGACCATAAGGCCCATGATTGCAAGCTTAGCCCTTTGGTATTCTGGAAAGCAGGAGTGCTAGGCAAAGCCTAGGTGCATTGGCAATGGGATTTACATTCGGAGAGCAGTCGAGTACCAAATGCTCCTTCCTCCTGTTCCCTTTTTTTTTTCATCAGCCCCTGGGCCACAGACCACCATGGATGTGCACCTCGATAACCCTGGGGGTCAGGAGAGCACAAGCAACAGCGGCAAGGAAAGCAGCAGCACAGGAAACCAGCAAGGTCACTACCCCTTCATGAACAAAAACACCAACCAGGATGCCATGCTTAATTTTGTGCGGGGTGGCAGGCTCCCTCTTGTTACAGACCTCACAAAAGTTTGTCTCTGGGCCTGTTCCAGAGGTGCACAGTTACAAACGATGTCTGTGTAGCTTCTCCAAGCAGCCAGGGACAGTCACCAGGCTAGACTCAGTGACCTAGCTTGACCTTGGTAAACAAGACTGAAGCACTGACTAGTTATCGTGCTGCGTTTTCACTGCCTTTACAGGTGGGAGCCTCAGAGACCAACTGCCAAACACAGGCTAAACCTGACAGCACCATTGTGCTGGGTATAGTCAATTAACAATTCTATTATACTAGTACACAGCACCCTAAAAGGTAGGATAAAATATTTTCAAAACTCTTTTTAAATGAACGTTTGTATTGGCAAATAAGAAAATACTTCATAAACCCAGAACAATGAGAAACCACGTATCTAGAGGCAGGTGAGTACTGTACTCAGAGGCTTCCCTGGGTTCCCTAGTGACTCACAACTTTTGTTTTAAAGAGCTGTTATCTGCGGACAAGGAAAGAAACTTTTAGGACCCACTCAAGTTGGGAAATCAGCATAAGTTTTAGTCTGTTCAATGGGTAATATGGCAACCCCTAACCTTCAAAGGAAGACAGTAAGAATACTTACCAGTCTTGGCCTTGCCTTGGGTGGTAAAGAGGAAAGGGCTGTCCTGATCATTTATTACCAAAAGTGGAACCTCACACAGGTCTGCAGCTCTGTAGTCTGTCTAGTCTGAAAAATTCCATGCTGAGAATTTAAAGCTAATGAATTTGGTAGTTCCCCAGACACCCAGTGGAGGCAAATTCAGAGCCTGTGTAGAGGAAAATACTTTAAGTCAGGTCTCACATAATTTCAAGGAAAAAGTTTTAAAAAACGTGAGCTTACAACCCAAAATCATAAAACATGCAGGGAAATAAGCCACCGTTGAGAGAGATTCTACATAAACAATAAATAACAGGATCAGGCTAGTATAAAGAATTCAGGTATTGGAATTACTTATATAGCATTTAGAAACATAGGTTTAGTATATTTGAAAAGAATAAATGAGTATATTTAAATTATGTGTAACTAAGGAATAAGATACTATAATACAATGAAGCAGACTTGAAAAAGAGCCAGATTGTCTAAAACTGAAAAATGTAATAATTAGAAACTACAATTTGGTGTATAGCTTATACAGCAGATTAGATGCAGATGAAGACAATATATATGTCTAGATGTATATTTATTTATTATAAGAAGTTGGCTCATGCTTTTATGGAGACTGAGAAATTCCAAGCCCTGTAGTCAGCAAGCTGGAGACCCAGGAACTGATGGTATAGTTCTGGTCCAAGTCTGAAAGCCTGAGAAGCAGGAGAGCTGATAATGTAAGTTCCAGTCAAGTCTGAGTCTGAAGATAGGGAAACATGTATGGATGTCTTAGAAAACAGTCAGGCAGAAAGCGTATTCTCTCTGACTCAGCCTTCTGTCCCATTAAGGCCTTCAGTGGATTAGATTATATTGGAGCAGGCAATCTGCTTTACTCGGTCTATTGATTCAAATCTTATCCAGAAACACCCTCATAGACACACCCGGAATAATGTTTAAGCAAATATCTCTCAGTACCCTGTTCCCTAGTCAAGTTGACACATAAAATTAACCATCACAATCAGCAAACGTCCTGACAACAAAAAAGAGATAAAGGAGGATAGTATCATGAAGTGCTTGTAGAATGTAACTTCAACGTAGAGTGGTATACCTTGCAAGAATGAAGATAAAATAGTTTTTTTCAGACATGCAAAAACCAATGATCACCCCCTGCAAAAATTCCTAAAGGCCGGATTATATCCAGGAAAAAGGCGGAATTATGTCACAATTGCAATGTGCAAAAAAGAACATTGTGGAACTGTGTTATTATGGATATATAGAAGAATGTAATTCTTAAGATGTGCTAAAATATTAGACGTGAAAGTGTCGTGTTAGCAGGTTGCTTTCAATTGGTTGAACGAGAATTGTGTGTGTGTGTGTGTGTGTGTTTAGAGAGAGAGATTAAATATAGCAAATTGTTGAAATCAAGTGGAGGTTATACCTTGTTCTTTCAACTTGTATGAAAATATTTAAATACAAGATTCACAGGAATACACTATAACTTGAAGCCATTTATTTACTAATCCTAGAATTTTATTGTATTCATATGTAGTCATATATTAAGCACCATTTTTTCTATGATTGACAACCTTCCCATCAATATCTAGTTTCCTGTCTGTGAATCTTCGAAGTCCACCAGCAATAGTTAAACCCTTACCATAGTTACAAGAGACCACATTAGTAGTTACTCCCTTTGTCACAAATCAAGGAACCATATGTATATGTGTCTATTTCTGGAATGTCTATTTTATTCTATTTTTCTATTTGTCTATCCTTGAAGAATACCACACTATCTTAGTAACTCATATACTGTAATGAATTTTCATGTCTGAAAGTATAAATTCTGAAACTTTGTAATGAATCTTCAGAACTGATGGTGCCCTGTCTTTTCTCTTCTTTTTTAAAAAAGAAGCTATTCTTGGTCTGTGCATTTACAGATACTTTTTGTAAAGCGCTTATCCCTCCTATTATGGTGGGTTTGCTTACAAATGTCCCTTTTTAGTAGCCTTCTAATCTCCTTCACTTCAGTTTTCAAACAATGCATCTAGTACACATCCTTATTATGTGACTTAGAAAGTTTCATGGTTCCCCAGGGCTCACAGGAATAAATACAGTATCCTTTATAATAAAATTCATTTCATTGCAACTTGGGTTCTAGTTATGACCATGGTCCAACTTATTTTTCCAGCTCTATATGTCATAATACTCTATTATAGCCCCATGTTTCCTTTTCCTTTATTTGTAATTTGCCTTCTACACTCCCATCTTCATGATTTAGCTAAAGATTTCTTTGGCTTGGTAAAGCCTTTTTATTTTCTTTCTACCCTCTCAAATATTAAGGCCCAATATGTGTTCCACAGCTTCTGTGAAGTCTCTCTTAATAGCCCCCAAATTCAATAACATTTCTACATTTTATAGTATTTTCATTTATACCACTTATTTAAATATATCATATATTGACTTCTATTTTTACATTTCTTTTAATGGTGTGTATTTTATTTGTATATTAGGTCACAGACTTTTCCAGAGTGAGGACCTTGTATTACGCTTCTTTTGTGTTTCCCCACTGTGTCTATCACGGTCTTTAGTCTTATTTGGCACTACTTACCCAGAATTCTGCACCGAGTTAAGAATATATTAGATGCTTAGTAACAATTGGTTGAATGAAGACTGAGTCTTTCTTCAACAAATATTTGGTGAGGTGTAATAGAAGGAGCAAGGAATGAGGTGTCAGATATTGGATTGACCGTAAGTTCTGTTACGGAAAAAACCCAAATGAACTTTTTGGCTAACCCAATAAAATGGGTTCTGGTTGTGCTCTGTCACTTGCTAGCTGGATTGCTTGTAGCCAAATCATTTTACTTCTATGATCCTCAATTTCCTCACCTTTAAGATAAAGACAATAATGACTTCCCTACAGCACAGAATCTCATAAGTTTATTCTCATTAAAAGGCTTTAAAACAGTACTCAACACATGTTTGTGCCATTTTTAATATTATAAAAATCTTCATTATAGAAAATTTGGAAAACACAATCAAGTTCAAAGAAAAAGACAGAAAACATTTATAGTAATACTACCAAGAAAGGACTACTGCTAAAATTTTGGTGTATTTCCCTTGCCATGTTTTTCTGTGCATATATTTTTTAAATTAATATTATGTGTATATATATACATTTATGTATAGGTTTTTTAACTTTTTTATTTGTTATGTCAGTTGAATATATTTTAGACACAATCTTTCATGAGGACTTTTTTCTTTTGAGCTTATATAATAAATAAATATAATAAGAGAATCTTTTTATTTTTAAAAAGTTTTCTGTAAAAGTTAAATGCATCCATATAAATAATTTTACTTCTATTAACTTAATTGTAGGTTAATACCAATATACATAATTTGATGAACAAAAATATTTCAGTGGTATGATTTTTCTTTCTGAAGTATTTGCTATTTGGGAATTTGTTTTGCCCATATGACCCAGAAAATCCTCAAAACAACTTTAAAATTTTTGCCACTGTGATTTTGATTGAATATTGGGCTTAATAAAACTCTACAGTGATTTCTTCTCCTGCGAAGAAAAATAAAATACTGAAGAGAACTTAGAGAACAAATCAGAGCTTGAAAAGGCTCAATTATTTTCCCCCTTTTCTCAGTTGGAAGAAAAAAAAAGATGAAAATTAAATTCGTTCAAAAAGACGCTAAGAGACATCCCAAAGAATTTTTCTTTAAATTGAGGAAATAGAAGAAAAAGACACTACTGGAACTTTTAAAGTTGTGTACAAAAGCCTCTTATCTATATATTAACTTTATTCAGTTTAATTAAGGAAAGGTTTGTGAATGATTTCAGTCCTTAGCCATGTCCCTTACTTTTGCTATTGCATTTGGCTTTTGGCTATGCGTATTTTATAGGCGGTATATATCCTGAAATTTTAGCTTTCTAGAAATTTTTCTTTTTTCAAAACTTTTACTAAAAATTTAGAATTCTCTTGGCCTGGAAAAGATTGTAGTTTTAAGATATAATAGCAACATGATATAAAATAAATATAATCTAACTTCAAAATACATACTTATAAGATATGTATGTGATATGCTTGTGTATGTGAACACTGAAAACCTTCTGGGAGGATATGCACCAGAATTATAACAGTGCTGTCACTGGATAATGGGATATAAGGCAATTTGTTTTCTCTCTTTTATGAAATCGTCATTTTACCCCAATAATGAACATGTATTATTTTCTTATGCAAAAAGAAAAGAATTCATTTTGAAAAAGAAAAATGAAAAGATAATTGTTCCATTCAATAAACAAACTTTATAGAGTACC